CGCAGGATGTCTCAGGGAGATGGATGGCTGCAGGGTGTCTCCCAGGCGAGATGTCTCCTAGGGGGCTGTTTCTTGTAACTGTCAGGCTATTCTTTGAAGGAGAACTCCCTTTTGGTTTCTGGCACTGTCAGGCTATTCTTTGAAGGAGAACTCCCTTTTGGTCCCTGGCACTCCCTTTCCCCAGTGGGACTGGACGCTGTGTCCTGGTTCTCATGCGTTCCACTGCAGGTGGCTTCGGGGCCCCTACCAGGACACCATCCATGGGCTCCCAGTTTTCCCCAACAGCCTCTTTTCTCTCAGGCAGGTGGCCCTGGGACAATTTGAGGGAAGAGTGACAGTTCCTTAGGATCTTGCTTTCTGGCACGACTCCCGCACCTCCAGAGTCGCAGGCATCCCCGGAGGGAGCAGGGGCAGCTAGAGGCAGTGGCCTAGCCCTGAGCCTCAGCCTGCTCCTCTGTGGACGGGGACAGTGGTGAGGGACCCAGATGCTCGACACAGAGCAGGTGGACGCGGGGATCGTGGGCCCTGGTGTAAGAGAGGAAGGAGGCTCTGTGGGTTTGACTCTGATGATAAAGTGGATTCGCATCCTGTGCAGAATTTCTGGAGAAACGAAGAAGGGGAAAGGGAGAATCTCGTCATCTCTCCGAGAGAAGTCACCACTGCCACCGCTTCACTTTTTCTCTCCCTAGTACCTGGCTCCAAGGGCTCTCACAACCATGAAGTGGGATGAGATGTTCTAACCCTGTGGCAGGGCCCTGTGGATGGGAGGAGTGTGAACACGCACGTTCATTTGTGAGCTCTAGGACATGCGTTGTGCGCGTTCGCTCCTTTATTAAGCAAGAGGACGGACGTGTTGTCATCAAGGTGTGCGGGGGCGGGGAGCAGGCTGCTACTCTACACGGTGCAGAGCCAGGCCTGTGGGTCTCGAGGTGAAGGAGGGGGCTGGCCGATGGCCAGTCACACACACGCCGATCAGTAGATGCTTCCTGTTTATTAAGGCGGGTGCCGGACGCGGGTGCTGTCGCAGTCTGTGAGCCCTGGCCACTGCCCGGGCCTGACCAGGAGGCTCTGCTCATCTTTAATGAATCAGAAAAAAATGGCAGTGCATCTCCACCAGGGGCCGAGCGTCTCTGAGATCCATTGATCTGTGGGGTGAATAACGTGGCCCCGGTGACATGAACCTGGAGAGCCCGGCGGGGTGGGGGACCAGGGCCACCGACACTGACCTGGGAGAGTGTCCAGCACTTGCAGATGGCAGCGGGCCTCGGAGACAGACAGGCTCAGGGCGGAGAGACAAACAAACATCGGCTCTGAATGTTAACCTAATTGAACACCATGAGAGGAGACGGCTTAATTGCAGTCATTAATTATCATACAGAACGCTTCCCGCTCGGCCACCTCGAGGCCTCGTGCTCCTGGGGAGCAGCCTGGACTCAGGGAATGTGCGTTCCGGGTCTCGCATCAGCGAGTGTCTGTCTGTCCGTCCATCCCCCGTCCTAGCCGGGTGCCTGCTACGCACCAGACGCCGCAGGGTCAGGGTGGAGCAGGTCCCCGCAGCAAAGGAAGCCCCATCCACTCAGAAGGGTGCCGTGGCCAGGCCTGGACCAGAGCCGGCGCACAGTAGGTGCTCAGTCAACGTTCGTGGGACGGATGGATGTTTGATGATCAGTCGGCGGATCCGTGACCCACACCAGCCTGTCCGGGGGCCGCGGGTCTGTACAGCGTCCGTACCACCACACGGCAGGCTCGTGTCCCCCTGGGCACCTGTGGGCCTCTGCTGCGGGCCCTGGGCCTCATGTTAGTGGTGGCCAGCCCTCGGGGTCCACGGCCCGTTGTGCGGGGGTGAAGAAGGAGGGGGTGTCCCCCGGTCTCGGGGGTCTTGGTGGGGCCTTGTTCCGTCTGCCCCAGGGAGGCCGCTGCGTCCTGTCCTTAGTGACTCCGTCTCTGCCCTCAGCAGCCTCCGCTGGGTGTCCAGGGAAGCCGGGGGATCTGCTGGTTGCTGGCCACACAGCGGCTGGGCTCCCAGGCCGCTCCTTGTGCGTCCGGCAGAGTCTGGTGCGGCCCCAGCAGATGGGCTGCGTGGAGGGTGGGCGCCAGTGGCAGGTCCCGGGTCCCTGCCCCTGGTCTATGGATGGCTTCCCTGTTCCCGGCCTCCCCCTCCGTCCAGTGGATCCATGCCCCTGGCCACCCTTGCTTGTCACCCCTGTCTTCTCTCTGCAGGGCTCTGGAGCCAGAGTCCCGCCCTCCAGGCTCATTACTGCTGTGTGACCTTAGCAAGTCTCCTCCATGACGTAAGGACAGAATGTCCCCTTCCAGTCTCCTTACCCTCCTCTGAGAACTGAATGATAGTGATGCCACCGCTCACCGAGCTTCCCACTGGACCAAGTCCATTACTCCCCACAAGCCCTTTGAAGGAAGGATGATTGCCGCCCTCCTTTTACCAATGAGACAACAGAGCGTCAGAGAGGTTGAGTCACTTGCTGAAGGTCACACAGCATTGAGCAACAGAGCACTTGTCTCTGTCCCTCTTGTCCACTTACCAGGAGGCTCCCTCAGGGTTGAATTTCAGACATTTGAGGCTACTGCGTGATGCCCACACAGGCAAGGTGCACCTGAGCAGGGCTGGGAAGAGTCGGCCGGCCCCTCCTCAGGCGGCCTCTGCTTCCCGCCAAACCCTGCTCTTCTCCGCAGCCCGGCCTGGCCCTGGGACTTCCTCAGCCTTTGCCAACAGCCTCTTCCTCTCTCTCTGTCATTTGACGGTCACAATGACAAGGACGGAGCAGCCAACCTGCCAAGGAGGGCTGAGTGTGTCCCTGTAACAGGGAGCAGCCCCGGCCTCCCGGCCTCCCGGCCTCCTCTGGGACGTAGCAGAGCCCCAGAGCCAGGAGGGTGATGTCCCATCTCAGCTCTGCTCCTCACCTGCCCCATGACCCTCTCTGGCCTCAGGTTCCTCATCAAAGCATTAAAAAAAAAAAAAAAAAATCCAAGGCCCAGAGAGGGCAGCGAGCTGCTCCCGGTCACACAGCCAGTGGGTTCCCAGTAGCTGGGATCTGACGGTGAACCCTCCCCCCTCATCAGGCGCGGGTCCCTTTAACACAGTGCAAAGTGAGCTTGGCACCTGGTCCCTGTGCGCGGCTGCCTGGTGGCCTGGGTCCGCGTGTGGTCCTGTGTCCTGTGGCTTCACCTGGTTTCCCAGAAGCCTTTCCCCCACCCCGATCCTCAGGGCTCACGTTAAGGCCTGCCTCATGGCATCCAAGGGACCCACGGTGACTTCCCTCACCATGGCCAGTGCTGGGCACAGTGCCTCTCAGCCCCTGCCTGCGTCCACGGCACCGCTCCCTGCCTCCGGGGGCTCAGAGCGTGGCCTCCCTTTTGATTTGTCCCGTCGGGATTCGTTTCCAGAACCTGGATTCTGGGTTTAGCCCGGGGGCAGGCCCAGCGCTGGGGACAGTTGGGCCACACGGTCCCCCTGCCCTTTACTCACTCAATGCCAGCCGCACCCAAGTTGTGACATGGGCAAATGTCCCAGTGAGGGCAAGATCACCCTGCGCGGAGGGTCGCGGCATTAAGGGAGCGGGAAGAAGCGGGCTGCCCGCGGCGATCAGAGATTCTCCCAAGTCAGAACAGAATCTGATTAGGTCTGCGACGGGGAGCACTGAGCAGCAGAATGAGCACTAAGAGATGACCACGCTCAAATTAAGGCTTCACATCCTCAGGCCTGGGTTGCCATCCGTGAAATGGGAGCCATCATCATGACCACATGCAGGTTGGGGGCGTGAGGGCAGGAGCACCGCACGCCGTGCTGGCCACAGGAGGCCCCCCATAAGTGCCAGCCTCGTGGGTCTGCTGCTGGGTTTTCCATCTTGGCTTTTGCTGCTGCTGAGGACAGAAAGATAGGGGCATCCAGGGGACACAGTGGCAAAGAAACCGTCCCTGCTGCCCTTTCCCCAACCTGCTGCACCAGGTCTGTCCCTAGGCTGTGCTGGAGGTCCCCAAACACCCACCCCCCTCTGTCCGACGTGGAGCGTCCTGGGGGTCCCACAGGCTCCTCTGCAGGCAGAGCCCCTGGTATCCGGCTCCGGCAGGGGCTCCGCGAGGACTCGGGACTGGGTGGCTCAGCGTGGGCTGTGCTCTGTGTCCCCAGGAGAAGTACGTGGAGGAGCTCGCCGCCGTGAGGCAGACCCTGCAGACGGACCTGGAGACGTCCATCCGGCGGATCGCCGACCTGCAGGCGGCCCTGGAGGAGGTGGCGTCCAGCGACAGCGATGCCGAGAGGTAACGGGCTGAGGACAGTGGGGGCTGGCCACGGCAGGTGGGCGCCACCTCGGGGAGCCTCAGGTCTGCAGTGGGCCTGGGGCCGCGGCTTCAGGGGACCCACAGGCTGGAGGTGTGGCTGGCCTGCTGGGATGGGGACAGGCGGGAGCTACCCCGCGAGTCTCCTGGTCATCCCTGAGTCCATCTGGCGCGGCTTGCCGAGCCCCGGGCCAGGGCACGTGGTGGACAGTGATCCGGGGGAAGCCCGCCCGTGGGGTTGCGGGAGCTGAAGGACGTCGTGGACGAGCGTCAGGGGGGACAGTGCTGAGGACACAGTGTGAGCTGAGCTCCTGCAGCCAAGGGGGGCCCCTCCACAGAAGCAGCTCCAAGAGGCAGATGTAGAGGGCGAGGGTCAGGAGGCCACCCAAGGTCACGGTCAGCGCCTCGGTCCTTCCTCAGAGGATAGCGTGCTTCCTGCCGCAGGCCGCGGGTCAGCACTCGGTGGAAGAGCCCACCGTACCCCAGGCCGTCCACCCTGCGGGTGGCCAAGCATCATCTTCCCAGGCGCTGCCCAGTCATCTCAGCTGTCCTGACCACAGCTGCCCATCTGGCTGCCCATCTTGGCCCCATCCCGCCCCTGGCAGCCCAGGGAGCAGGGAAGGCTTTCTGTGCCTGGCTTTGCACTAGGGGCCTGCAGATCACCCACCACCCGCCAGCCACCGGCCACCAGCCACCCACAGGCCGTCCGCCGCCCGCAGGCAGGCTGCCCGAGTCTCACCCCTCATCTGCAAAGTGACCGTCCTTCCTGGTCTTTCCCTCGGCAAGGCTGGTTGTGCTGCAGCCGGAGTGGCCAGACCTCAGACCTTGGGGGGCCACCTCCTGTCCCTGGGAGGACCCTGCTCTCCAGGCCAAGGGCACACGGCCCAGTAGCAGAGCCTGACCCAGGGCTGCCGTCGCCTCCCTCACCTCCTCCTGGCACGGGGAGCAGGGGCTGTGGGGGGGCCTGGGAAGGGAGGCCCAGAGCGCCGGCAGCCAGCTCTGGTTAGCCACGGGAGGGACCAGACACCTCTGTCCAGGAAGACCTGTGTCACCAAAAAAGAAACGCAACCCAACCAAACCCAAAACACACTCCAACACGGGGGACTTGCTTTATTTCCCCCAGGTTTATTTGCATTTTCTAAAACTTGCAGGATGAACGGACGCACACACGCACCCCTGGCCGTGTTAGAGCCCACATCAGGAGATTTTGCTCCTACAAGTTACGGACTTGGAACCCCTTATTTTGATTAATTAATTAATTAATTTCTGGTACCGGAGATTGAACTCAAGGGACCTTGACCCCTGAGCCACACCCCAGCCCTATTCTGTATTTTATTTAGAGACAGAGTCTCACTGAGTTGCTCAGCACCTCTTTGTTGCTGAGGCCGGTTTTGAACTTGCGATCCTCCTGCCTCAGCCTCCCGAGCTGCTGGATCATTTGCCACTGTGCCCGGCTTCAGTGCCTAATTCTAGAAAGTCTCGCAGTCCTGGGCTGGTCCTGGCTACTTGGGGAGCTGTCACCTCCAACTCTCCCAATAAAGATGCCCATGCTGGGCAGCAGTGTGGCAGATGCCATGTGGATCTGAAGCCTCGTGTTCTGAATACAGAGCGTGGCCTCAAGTCTTCACTTAATGCAAAAGGGACTTTCAAGCACATCACTGTCCCCTGCTCGTTTGCACAGCCGCCAAGCTGCAGGTGAAATTGCAACCAGTGACATTGCCGTGGCTCTCAGCTCAGGACTGCATTTAGGATCCCCCTCCACCACCCCCTGGGCCGTTTTCTTAGCATCGGACAGAGCCTACACCTGCAATTACAAAGCCTTTGTCCACGGGACTTGCTGGGTGCCAGGCGGCTGTTCCGTTAATGGAAACTCCAGAGCATTTGGATTCACGATAAGGGGAAGGAATGGCTCTGGGTCCTGGGGTCTCTGGCCAGTGCAAGACATTCGAGCCATTTTCCAAATGCACAGCGGAGGTTTGCTTTTGTAACAATTGAAGGCGACAAGGACGAAGGACGGTGGGAGAGGCAGAGGGGCAGCCCAGTGTGGGGACCCGGCAGAGGGCATGGAGGAGAGCAGGGCTGACTTCTCACCCAGGGTGAGGGTCACTTCAGAGTATGCCTCTAGGCGAGCTCCTCGGGCCTGGGGGGGACCTCCGTCACCCCGTCCTGTAGAGACCCCAGACCTGCCTCTCCTCCAGCGCACCCTCCGCTCTGGTGCATCTCTCCTGGGTTCCAGCTCTGGGACCCAGGAAGCAGCCTCAACTCCAGATTCCTGTCGGCCTTTCTGCTCTTCTGCCTCTGGGACCTCCGATCTTCCTCCCTGCGGGGCTTGTGACTTACCTTCCTGGGTCTGGAACTTCCACACCGTTCCTCCAGTGGCAAGGGACCTCACGTGGGGCTCAGGGGCCGTAAGGTGTGGAGGGACTGTGCCCACCAGGCACTGTGCCTGGAAATGCCAGGGCAGCGGGCAGGACGGCGGCAGTCGGAGGTGGGGAAGAGCTGGCAAGGCTGTGACTCCATCTCTCTGACCCTCGGTCTCTTCATCTTTAAGACGGATGAGAAATAAGAAGTGAAAAAGTTCAACTCCTTAGCAGGCACCTCGTGCACCGCGGAGGCTCGCCCCCAGCCGCGTTCATTCATTCATTTGATGAATCCTTGCCAAGCACCTGGTGCAGGCCGGACGCCCTCCTGGGCACTCGAGTTGTTCCACTGGCTTCTTGTCATCATTACTGCAGATGAAGAGGCATCGGGCAGCTTCCCTAAACCCAGGCAGAAGCTCACGTTCAGCAGCC